ATAATGTGTGCATGGCTGGTCTTAAACGTGTGTTTAAGACTGGCTCAAGAGAATGGACGTGACTAATGCCCAATCTGCAGGTGAGAGCATTATCAGTGTTCGTTCTCCTGAGCAAGGTCTTAATTCTGGCCTAGCACATATTTATTCCCATTCATAAATACATGTACTGTACCTTTATGAATTGTTGGATTTCCAACAATTTGGTTCTAAATTTTTACTTTCATTTTCCCAAAGACCCCCGTCCATTTTATGTTACATGTATATATTCCCTTTGAAAGTCATCCAATAGAATCCCCTTCAATGAACTTGGCGTGCATGGCACGTCACACGCACCCAGACTCCTGACCAATCAGACCCAATTAAACTATCTCGTATCCATGTGCCAGTGCATGATTTACGCACTGGTCATTAGACACTTCTCAGTGGGCATTATCAAAGGTTAATACACGGTCATGTGACGCATTTCGACCAATAGGAAAAAAGTGTCCAAGGTATTTATGAATACATGATAAATTAAAACACTTTGACACATTTAAACACTTTAACAGCAAATTACATATGAAGTTACAAGGAAAGTTAAAATTGATTGTGGTGTTTGATTTGTTTTTTGTTTCCTGGGAAGAAGAGCAAGAGTGAGATTTATAACAAACTGGTTTACTAGAGAAACCTTGAATTCATAAATGGGGTTTTTGTCGACTGGTTGAATTTCAAGACCTAAAAATTTTCATGAAATTCTATTGAAAACTATTGACAAGAATGAAGAGCAGATGAGAAGAGACAACAACATGAGGGTTTGATATAAACAATCAAATGGCGATTGCAGCCGAAAAGGTGATTAGAGCATCGTCGTGTTCCACAAGCATAACTGGATGCACGAAGAGAAGCTTGATAACCTGAGGGGCACTGTAATGGTCAAAGTGAAGAGGGTAGCTCATGTGAACGGACACAGGGCTCCAGTGTCCCTCACAGTGCACATCTACAAGAATTGGCACGCGGTACCACCGCAGCTATCCACCCTTATACCCAAAATTCCACAGTTACAACATAGTGGACATGACACATCAGCTTTTGGAAAGATCACCCCCACTATCCATCAGTTGTTGTGGCCTGGCAACACCGTCAGTGCACTTGACGCGTAAATGATGCATGGGCACTTGTAGCATATCTTGTGATTGATTCGTGTCCAGTAAATATTCACCGTATATGGCCGTGGTATAACAATTGTACATTGTACTTGTTACATGCTTCCCAGTACTTTCTAATTATGTACAATAATGGTTTTGGTGACCAGTTCCCTAGTTTCAGTCTGTGACAATTTTAGCACAATTTAGCAGAGAATGGTGTGTTAATTAGAAATGCCCCACCTTTAGTTTGTCTAGATGTATTCTTATTTGTCCATAGTTTTTCAGGGAAGTGTTGTGCGTACTAGTACACGTGACTGTTGTGGAAGTTTTTGCTGTGTCACAAATCCACATTGGCTGCAGTCGAGTCCGTCACAAGATATTCAAATTACTGCTACTTGTGACTGGTCTTGTTATAGACGGAGCTACCTCCCTACAACCCTTTAAGTACAGTAGTTTCACTTACATGGACATGAAATGTTTGGGCATTAGGTGCACCAAAATGACATTTAATTTTTTGTCCTGTTTTTGTAACAGAGAAGAGCAGTCTATTTCAGAGTAATGGTGCTCCTTCTGGAGTTGCAGATGTAGGGAATTCCGAGAATGAAACTGCCCCGAAGAGGAGCGTGAAGGTTGCAGGGGTTTGCCATCGGACTCCAGACAACCACCACACTACATCCCATTCCAGTCCTCCAGTAGCTCCTCAGCCCAGGCAGGGTGACAGTGTTCAAGGGAGCACACCAAGCACTCAGCCACTGTTGGCCAGCATGACACAGCAAGACAAGACCCTGGCAAGTGGAATGCCAACAGGTGCCTACCAGCAGAATGTGCCAGCATCAACTGTTTCTGAAGGGACTGGAGAGGGTGAGTTTAGACTTGACTCAAGTCGGGATCTCTGTGACGGGACGTCTTCATTTCTGCTTTGCATGCACATCAAACGAGACTGCATGCCGCTACTAACTTGCTTCGCGCCATCTTGTGTCCACTTATTACTATGAGTTCAGTTCAGAAATCCCGACTTGACGAATCTGCCAACCGTTTGTACACAGCGAATGAGCTCATCTATCAAAAGTGGTAGCAGCCAATCACATTGCCGGACGTGTTTTTACGTCGTTCATACCTGCATTATAATGAACGACTGCAAGTCTGACTACTTTGCTTGGTGGAAATTCCGCATACATTATGCAAGATCATGTCGTTCATATGCAATTACGAATAACTACATATTACCGACGGGGGGTCCGATTGGCTTATCCATCAAGTCGGACTTACTGACTAGCGACGTATGACACATGCTGTACAATAAAGGCTATAATGCCTTATAAGGGTTATGTGAGCTGCCAATGCCAGGCCAAGCGTGACGACTGGGTAGTGCATACCGGGGGGATGGTGAACTAAGGAAGAGCAATGGAAGTCCGACTTGATTCAAGTCTAGGGTGAGTTTGGCGCACAGTCCTTACCAAAGAACCTGCCTGGTAGTGCTGCACTTCATGAGGCACCCACTGTACAGTACCAGGACAGAAAACCATCACCTTCGTATGTTACCTTTGAGGAGGTTGATAACCCACATGGTAGGTGCAGTTCATAATGAACAAGGCTTGTCTAACTCCATACGCGTGCCAGCAAACCCAAAGGGGCACTATTTCTGCCTCGTCCCCCTGTGCGTACTTTTGGCACTTGGGGACATGAGTGTGCTTCACAGTCCTGATATGGAGCTGAGGTCAAATCAGATCATCATGGTAAACCTTGTCTCTGAACAGAACTGAGTTCATACTAGGGTTACCTTGCTCTGAAAACAGCTTGGGAGGCATATGAGGATTACTTGGTAGCAAAATGAAGAGAAAGAGTCAAGGAAATCATGCTTACTCCATCAGAACTTCGGAAAAACAAGACCTCTTAACATCAAGCATGTGTGCATAGCTGTAGGGTTTGATGGCTTGTCAGATTACTTGTCAGATTACATGTCAGATACTTGATACATACACACGTTCTTGATTCTGACCTTGCACCCCAATTCACCAAAACTACGGGAAACTGTGTTATCCAAGAAAAATTCTGAATTCTTAAAATTGGAAGGGTTCATGGTTAATCTGACCAAACGATCTCCATGGCATTTAGAGAGCACTGATTTCACTATTTTGCAGATCAGCCATATAATTGCGTAGCCAATGGCCAAGTTGAGATGCGAAACAGACAAGGCGGCTCAGGTGATTCTGATACCAGTGCGAGAGAATGTCCCCAAGGGCAGATGAACAATAACGTTGAGGGTGGGGTTGAAGAGGAAGCGAACAGATCTGGGAGATCCAGCATCTCAGCAGGTGCCTGTGGTCGTGGAGACGACACTGCCGAAACTATTTCAGGTAACCCAGCTCCTGCATTGCCATCGGGACAATCACTCCTTTGCCTCAGCTCTTACGGATCCCTTAAAATCCACCCTTTGGTTTTGCAGCACTTGGCAGGATTTGGCAGAATGAAGGAAGGCACAGCCCACTTACTCTCACTTCAACCAC